TGCTGCTGAATATGACACTAATGTTAACAAAACAGCTATAACAAAGATTAATCTAAATTTAATTCATACAGTGAACACTATGCAGTGTTATTTTGCACTTAATTATTAAATGTCTGTATCTGAATTTTTTTTTCTTCTTTTTTTTTTCTAAATGTTCAGTTGCCTTTAATCATGTTTGAACTTTCTCAGACTATAGTTTTTGCTGTGGTATATGAAGAAGTACTTAAAGTGTGTGGAAAGCAAAGTTACAATGATATTAAAGTAGGGGAATTTCCCTTGCGGTAATTTTGAGTGGCTCAATAGCGCGGTATTATCGCCATACACACACACACATATATAATCTGTGTGTGTATGTGTTACGATATAACTAATGAGGTCATATTCAGAAACCGAAACCAAATAGCGTTGAAACAGGAAGTGAAGTAAACGGAAGAGAATGACAAAATAACGGTCCACCACATAACAGAACATAAATCTGACAATAAAATCGTTAGGCTATCGTTAGCCTTTATGTATAACAGTTAGCCTAGTTGTAATCTGACTGGACAAGAGACTCTGTTTAGGCTTGTTAAGTGCAAATCTACGGAGCCATTATGTTGTCATTACTAACTTGTTTAATATTCAGTCCACATGCATGAAGTGTGAAATGAGAAAGGCATAACCCGCAAAAATCGCGGTTGCTGCGGTTCTTGCATTCCTCTGCGGCTTGCTCGTCAATAGTGCGGTATTGCGATATTGCGGTTATCGCGACAGCCCTATATTAAAGTAGTGTCATAAATTTTTTGTTTGTATGTTCACATTGATGTTAAATTACATTTTCATCACTTTTTATTTCACTACTTTTTAAGTAATGCTAAAACACTGCTGGTCACTTTCAGAAGTTATAGTGATTCTTTATTTTCCAAGAAAGAATGTGAAACAAATTGGTTATATATTATTCATTTTTAAATATTTTAAAATATCATTTAAATTGATTTTTCACACTTTAAGCAATATTGTATCGCATATTGAATATCGCATTTTTTAACAAGGTATCGCATATCGCATTTTTCTTCAATATCGCACAGCCCTACCACCTATGTAGGGTACATACTTTCCCCTGAGCTCTCCATGTACAGCAAACCCTACCAGGGATGACAGCTGTGTAAAACCTTTGCTAGAACTTGATTGTTGACTGGCTGTGCTGTTATTATTTCCTCAAGGTGAGGGCAAGTGGTTCAGAAACATTGACTACTATCGTCTAGATGGTTCAACGAGCGCCATGACCAGGAAGAAATGGGCAGAGGAGTTCAATGACACCAGTAATGTTCGGTAAAGATGTTTTCCCTTTTGAGTAGCAAACAGAGGAACCGTTGAACTCGTTTTTCCATGATTGTCAAGCACTTGTGTTCTTGTTCTTCTTCTCCACAGGGGGCGATTGTTCATCATCTCAACCAGAGCTGGCTCTCTTGGGATCAACTTGGTAGCTGCAAACAGGGTCATAATTTTCGACGCCTCATGGAACCCATCCTACGACATTCAGAGTATATTCAGAGTCTATCGCTTTGGCCAAGTGAAGACCGTGTTTGTCTACAGGTTTTTAGCTCAGGTGAGAAATTCAGTTCTGACATTTGGATGAATGTATTTGCTGTGTTTATTCTGTGTAGAAATATGCATGTTTATTCACAGACAGGGGAGATCAGATCTGTAATGTTTTTGGACATGTTTCTTTCTATAGGGAACCATGGAGGAGAAGATCTATGACCGGCAGATCGCCAAACAGTCGCTGTCCTTCAGAGTTGTGGACCAGCAGCAGATTGAGCGTCACTTTACCATGAACGAATTGACAGAGCTGTACGCGTTTGAGCCCGACCAGCTGGACGATCCTTCAGAGAAGAAGAGCAAGCGGGCCACACCCATGCTGCCCAAGGTGAAAACCGCTTCATACCACCTGTTTTTCTCTGTTTTGTTTGCCCGCAGAAAACCTATTGGAGTTTTGGCTCAATTTGTCAACTGAAATCAGATTTGTTTGTATAGCACTTTTCAAAATACGCCTCGTTTCAAAGCAGCTTTACAGAAAATCATGATGTTAATATTGACAAGATGTTAAAATCCTCATGCCTCACTTATTAAGCAGATTGGGGCTACAAGCAATCAAGCAGTTGTGATTTGCTATGTAGTATATATTGGCCAACACCGGTATACTTGTATGTATGTGGATAAAGTTAAACATACTTCTATATCCAACTTTGTATAAAGTGCAGGGTGATAATATAGTTTAAATATACAAACATTTTTTAGATTAGATATGTAGTATGGCTTTACATGTATACTGTATGTATGTGGTTACTCTGTGTGTGTGTGTGTGTGTGTGTGTGTGTGTGTGTGTGTGTGTGTGTGTGTGTGTGTGTGTGTGTGTGTGTGTGTGTGTGTGTGTGTG